CTCTAACAACAAAGGGGATTTCCTAAAAGGTTGTATAAGCTGGATGCACCAGAAGAAAGGCCTCTGTTTTGGCTATTCTCCTGTGAAGACATTCAGCTTTGGCAGGGATGCGGGTCTTGGTCTCCGTGAATGCAGGGTCCCCAGTTTAGGAGGAATGGTGGCAACAGCGGTGACTGGTGTCATGTAAACAGCCTGCTCTCGCACACAGCTGTCTGCTGTACTCTCTAGAACCATACGTGGGGTGTGCTTAGGAGATGTGTACAGTTACAGGTGGCAGTTAGCTAAGGGAAACCCACAGGGGGTAAAGATTACCCAGAGACTTACTGGAGGTGAAAGAGAACGATGCTGGTGACATCAAGCACTGGTGAAGATGGCTGTCTGTCTTGCTCTGCATGCCATGCTGGGTGGTATCCAGCCATTAGTTCAGCCCATTTCTCATCTGTCATGTGGGGTTCCCCCCAACCTCTGGATATGGTGACTGGCAGTGAATGGTAGTAAGTTCATGGTACAAACAAAACTATATAAATTTGGTTTCGAGACAGGGTGTTTTTACATAGCTCTGGCTGACCTGTTACTGGCTTTTTAGCTCAGGCTTGCCTCAAATGGCAATCCAGCTTCTGCCACCTGAGAGCTTGGATCACGAGTATGTGCCAGCATGCCCACCTTTAAACTGGTCATTTTGTATTTGCTTTCGCCACAGGGGTCTTGCAATACATCGTTCTGACTGGCCTCAACTGCACTGCAGACTAGATTGGCCTTGGAATTAAACAGACTTCCAACCAGGTGCTGGGATTGTAGGTGTGCACAACCATACCTGGCTAAACTAATCTCAATAAACACGCTTGTGCTTGTGTGCCAACAGGATATTAAAAAGCTACAGGCCCAGGGGCCCTTGGAAACAATATTTAGAGAAATCGTCTTTACTTGTTTGTCCTGAGTGTACTGCAAGCCTGTTGACACAAAGTGAAACCCCTAAATTACAGACAGTATTCCAAGGTCCCCTACTGATGTATTTGGGGTACGTATCCTGTACAGATAGTGGCTCTTGGCCAGAGGCCTGCCACCACCAAGCCTGTCTTTACCCACAAGGCAGCTCTGCCCTGAAGCAATGAACTATCCTTATCAGTCTTGGGCACTTTCCTCAGTTAAATCTGATAGCTGTGGCTAGCTACCAGTGTGCTGGCCCTGCAGACAGTGACTGGTCATGTTCATTCTGATTCCATTCTCCAATGACTTATTTGAAAAGATGGCCATCTCTTGGTATTGCTCACGGAAGGTATCACTTAGCTGTCACTCACCACCAGAGCTCAGGCTTCAAGATCCATGCCAGTTGTGACAGTATCCTATAGGACTGGATGGTATCTCATGGCTGCATGCTCCTTCAGGGTCTCAGAGAAGAGAGAGATACACTCTGACTTTGTCGTGAATAGTGAGGATGATGTTTCCACAGAAATGCCCTTCATCCTTGGTCTAATAAGTATCTTTCATACCTTGCCAAGATTTGCCAGGTCTTTTCAATCGTGTGTCAGTTTCGAAGGTACAGGATGCGGCATGGGAAGAAAGCTTATGGAACATGAATGCGCCAACCTTACAAACGACCACTTTCTCCTTGACACTACAGTGAGCAAATAGAAAGATCTATCTGTATGGTATCTGGTGGGAAAAAAATACGAGATAAGTGATCAGGACTGAGATTGGAGGGTGTGGTGGTTTGAGAAGGGCCCCCCTAGGCTCAGACATCTGAATGCTTATCATTAGGGAGTAGCAATGCCTGAGAGAGATTAGGAGGTGTGACCTTGTTGGAGAAAGTGTGTCACTCAGGCTGGGCTTGGAGGTTTCAGAAGCTCAAAGGAAGCCCAGTGACTCGCTCACTTGCTCGCTTGCTCACTCTCTTCCTGCTGCCTGTGGATACAGAGGTAGAACTTTCCGCTCCTTCTCCAGCACTATGCCTGCATGCTGCTATTTCTGCCACCATGACAGCACTGGGCTAAGTCTCTAAAGCTGTAAGTAAGCCTCCAATTAATTGCTTTCCTTTAAAATTGTTGCCACGGGCATGGTGTTTCTTCGGAGCAATAGAATGCTGACTCAGACAGGGTATGAGTGTTCCTGCTTCAAAGGAGAGGAAGAAAAAGCCCGGCAGTGATGGCACACACCTTTAATCCCAGCACTTGGGAGGCAGAGGCAGGCAGATTTCTGAGTTCGAGGCCAGCCTGATCTACAGAGTTAGTTCCAGGACAGTCAGGGCTACACAGAGAAACCCCCTGTCTCGAAAAATTAAAAAAAAAAAAAAAAAAAGAAAAGAAAAAAGAAAAGAAAGAAAAGAAAAAAGGAAAAAAAGAAAAGAAAAACTAAAAGAGAACACCTCTGTCTCAGCAAAAGCCCAAAGCTATTGGGAAAAGACTGAGCAGTGTTTCTATGTGCTACCAATAAGGGGCATCTGTGAAAGATTGACAGGAAGAGGCCTTAGCTTCTGTGAACTTTCATCTTCTAAGGGAGGCAGCAATAGTTAAGGCTAGAAAATACAGATTCCTGAAGGGTTTCAGTACTGTTACTCAACTTGCCCAAGATGCGTGTGTGTGTGTGTGTGTGTGTGTGTGTGTGTGTGTGTGTTGATGGTAGTGGTGGTTTGAATATGCTTGGCCCATAGGGGGTGGAACTGCTAGGAGGTGTGGCCTTGTTGGAGGAAGTGTGTCCCTGTGGGGGTAGATTTTGAAGCTCCACCCAGTGCTGAAGGGTCAGTCTTCTCCTAGCTGCCTTCAGATCAAGATGCTAGAACTCTCAGCTCCTTCTCCAGCATCATGTCTGCCTGGACGCTGCCATGCTTCCTGCCATGATGATAATGGACTGAACCTCTGAACTTGTAAGCCAGCCCCAATTAAATGTGGTCCCCTATAAGAGTTGCCTTGGTCATGGTGTCTCTTTTGCAGCAATGAAACCATAACTAAGACGGTATGTGTGTACATATTTGAGTGTGAGGGAGAGCATGTTATGGCATGCACATGGAGAGCAGAGAACAACCTTGGGCCAGTCCTTGTCTTCTTTGAGGAAGAGACTCCTGATAGCCATTGCACTGGGAACTCTGGGATTGCTGGCCTATGAGCTTCCTGGGGAAGCTCCTGCTCTCTGCCTCTCACATCCCTGGAGAAGTGATAGAATTTCAGATGCATGCAACTACAGTGGCTTTTACTTGGGTTCCATGGATTTGAACTCTGGCCACTGCACTTTCCCAGTTAGCACTTTTACTCACAGACCCATCTCCCTGGCTCAGTGTTCTAGAATTTAGGAAGCATATTTAGGGTGGCTGATTCTTACAGATAAATCTAAAGGAAAGGGTTTGGTCTCCCTAATTACCATGTACCTTCTGGGAATGAACGCTGGGTAAGACTAGGTACCATGGAAGGGCACGTCAACCTGAGATGGCCCCCTCCCAAGAGACCCCTCTGAGGAAGGAAAAGAGGAGGAGTCAAGGGAGCGTGCCATCGGAGTTGAGCAGTTGGGGACCAAGACTGTGCACAGGATCTCTGGAAAACTGACCTAAAAGCTCCCTCAAGAAAAGTGCCATGTGTGTAAGAACGAGCCAGTCTGACACGTGACATTTAGTCAGCCCTGGCTCCAAGTGATATTACTAACGATATGCTCCACAACTTCCTGGTTCTACTTTTTTTTTTTTTAACTCCTCCTTCATATTCCAAAGGTGAAAACTGGGGTACAGGAGCCAGAAGCCGGGCCACACTTGTCTAGTATACACTAGGCCTGGGACAGGACCAGATAGGACAGGCAGGATAAAGGGTAACTACTTTAGACTGAAATAGACTTTTTTAATAGTACTTAAGACTTCACGCAGCTAGAAATGATGGGCGGAAATGAAACATGGTTTCTTCCTGAGATAGTGTAGAGATGAAAAGGAACCCCTTGAACAAGCTAGGTGAATGAACGGGTCTTAACTCCTTGCAAAAGGCAAAAGCAGGAGTCCCCCTTGGCAGCTCTGAGAGGACCTGGGCATTTCGGGTCCTGCGTGACTTCATCCTCAGCACTGCATGTTTGAGTGTCAAGAAAGAATCTAGCATGGCTATCTTCAATCGGAGAGCGGCCCTGGCCGTCTATCAGAGCTCATTAGAGAGTCAGGAAGTGCTATTCACTAAAAGGAACTCTTTTCTAAAATATGTGCATTATAGTCCAGTAAATTAATTTATAGGCAGGCAGGTCTTATGAAAATAGGCACATGCTATGCCCACTACGTCACTAGTTATTCCATTTTTTAAAATGTTATTTTTGGTAGTATTGAGAATCAAATCTAGAGTCTTGTACATACTAAGAAAGAACTCTACCACTGAGCCAGACCTCAAGTTCCCAGTTTTTATTCTACTAATGGACTTAGAATTACACTCTGAAAAGCATGCAGTATACCTCTCCCTACAATATCGGGAGAAACGGGTGGGTAGGTAGAGAGGCCCTTGGCTAGCCAGCAGTAACAGTGCTGCTGTGAACTTTACTTCTCAACATCTCAAATGTTACTAGAAAAGTTGATCATTCCTTCTGTTCTTCAGCCTTCTACATCTGTATTAAGCTTTTCCAAAGAATCAGAAAAGAAATTGTGTATGCTGTGGTGTGGTACGAGCAAGCTCGTGCAGACAGAGTCTGTAAGCTGGAAAGGAGCCGAGAGTCCAGCTTCCAGTGTGTTGGTTGCAGGCTCAGGACACAGGAAGTTTGCATCTGAAGGCCAGAGGAGGCTGTGTGGTAGTTTAAAGGCAGCTGGGCGGGAGGACTCTCTTACTCCAGGTTATGTCAGTTTGTCTCTATTCAGGCTTTCAGACTACTGACTGGGGTCTCCTTGCTTTAAGGCCTGTTTTACGTGCCTGCCAATTCAACTGTTAACCTCATTCCAAGCACCCTCACAGACATAACAGAATACTCTCTGATGAGTTCTGGAAACCCCTAGACCCTTAAGTATAAAATTAACTATCATGGTACCCCTGCCACTCCAAATAAGGGCACCAGTCTTTGATATTTTGAATATTAATTTACTTTAGACTTGAGTAACAGTGAAACAGAAGAGCAGGAAAAGAAATACCACTTCCGGAGTGATTTAAAGGCCTGTGTGGTCGATTTCACAATGTCGGTTCAGCGTCAAAAATGTATATCATATTCTCTCGTTCAGGTCAGCTCGAGAAAGCTCGAACAAAGTTATAATAGTCAATCCTGTCTTCTCCATGGGTGCACAGCCTGATCAACTGAAAGGGGAAAAAGAGGACAGATAAACCAGGCTTCCTTCAGCTTAACATGCTCTTACACTTCTGCAGAAAGAGCCCCAGCTTCTGCTAACCCAAACAAAGTTCAGCCTTTATATCTTCAGCTGACTCCAAAGTAATCCTGCGGTCCTGGAAGGTAGGTGAGACATGAACCCCGTGCTATATATCGTGAAGCCACACTATGTACGAGATCCATATTTATAAGGGCATCATCATTATCATAGGGCTTTTCTTATATTTTGAGGCAGTCTCTTACTTTGGAACCTCGGGTGGTCTTGGACTCATGATCCTCCTGCCTCTGCATCTCAAGTGTTGAGAATACAAGCATGGACCAGCAGACCCAGCTTCAAAATACTGCCATTGCTGTATTCAATTAGAAATACTTTGGCTCCCTTGACCCAAAACTAAACACCCTTTAATACCAGACTCCTGCTGGTGCAGCCAAAGAGAAGAATCTGGTTATATATCCGTTTAAATGTCCCCTGGACTTAACTGTGATGAGTAACAGTTACTGGCTTTGGTTGTCTTTGTAAGACATGCAAATCTGCCTCACCCACCCCTACTCACTCCCCCCCCACACCTAATGGCAGTAATTCCTCTATCACGTCCACTCCCGTGTCACACAGTATGAATGATTGGAAATAGAAAGGGGCAGGGAAAAAAAGATTCAGTCTTGCTGTCAACCAAAGGCTTAAGAACTAATGGGTGTTTAGCCCATATGAACAAGTACTTCTATCTGTCCTTCCTCTTACCTTAGCATCCTGTCTTTAAAAAGACCAAATAAAGCCCTGCATCCTGACCTAGTTACCTAATCAAAACCATTTCCAAAATGCACCTTAATTTCCAAACAGTCCCTCTTGCTTGAAGCTCTTCAAGAAGGTCAATAAAGCCTCCATGTTCTTAATCAGTGAGCCTGTCTTGACATTAAGATAGAGTTCTGTCTAGAGTAGGGGAAAGTTTTTCTGACTTCCAGGGGGTTCCTGGCTTATGGGATTTGTAACAAATAAAAGAAATGACACCATTATTTAGCAATCAGGAGACTTCTACGAGGAAGACTTCTATGTCTTCTCCCATCTATAGCTAGCCATGCTACCCCTAGAGACACTGCTGCCTTGGGCAGTGGTCCTGTCAGCTTTGGCTTCCATGCTAGTCCCTTCGATAAGCTGGCTTTGAAAAACCTCAGAGCCTGCAGGCATCCTGTTCAATTCACTGATCTTGGCAGCTGCTGCCCTAGGATCAGATCTATACTGCCTCCCATCCCTTACATGCTAGTCTAGTAACTTCTCTGCCGTCTGTCCCCACCCCATCTAAAGAGACACCCTGCCGCAACAATTAGAAAAGGTAGTTGATACTGTGATGTGGGAAATCCCGTTATCGGAACCGAACAGGAGGTCTGATTCTTGTAACTCTTTAGGAAGGGATGAGCAGTCCTCACCCTGCACAATCAGCCCAAACCACAATTCACACTGACCACAATTCACACTGACCTCCTTAATCAATGAGTCATCGACCGGGACATTAAGAGTTTCACAGACTTTAAAGAACGTCTCTCGGTCCACGAATCCTGACTCGTTCTTGTCGTATATCTGAAACGTTTCACGGAGGTTGTCTTTGCATGAATTGTCTTTCAGGTGCATCTGGATTTTTTCTATCAGTGTCTCCAGGTCCTGCACCTTGGGGTCCTCTGTACCTTGTTTGCTGTAGAGGAAGGAAGGAAATGATTGGATATGCATTCATTCTTGATCAATCCTTAACCTCAGTGTTCAAAGCGCTTATTTGGTGAAATCTGGGAAGCTTCTAACAAACAACAACAAAAACCAAACAGTTGTAACACAGAGCTGACAGGCAGCTACTGGTGGCTGACGTCCACATCTTAAGGACAGTGTTTGAACTGTCTCCCTTCTTACCGTCTGTTAAATCACCCCACCGCAGAAAGCCAGCTCTCATATGCCACTATTCCCAGTTTTCTATTTGTGGGGATCACGTTTCTCTCTTTCAACTGTTGCCGACTAACATTACCTCATCCAAATCCAAGTGCCTGAGTACTTGGAAGCCATGCCTGTAACTATGCCGACAGGAATCTCTCAGTTTTCACATTCCCTGTTCAGTTTTGGCGAGTCTTGTGAGAGGCCATCTAAGGGAGTTTAGAGACTTCTCTAGGGGACAGGCAGGAGTTTAGGAGTTTGCGTTACTGCGAGATTAGTAATACAGCATTAGAAGAGGGATGTCTGTCCCTTCACAACATGGCCACCGGAAGTAGAAGCTCAATTTGTACTTCCTCTGAGCACAAAGCTTGTTGGAAAACTAAAGAGTGTTGGTGCCAGCAAAGGCTTCCTCAGATTCCTAAATGCTTTCAGAACAAAATACCCTCGGAGAGACCCGCCCCTACCCCCAAGCACTTAAACGTTTTTCAGTGGTGAGAAAATGGACTTGAAAGATGTTATGACTAGTCCAGATAGCACGTCAGAGGCAAGACCAGAACTTGTGTCTTCTCCCATTCCCAACACGTCTTAGATTGTAACTCCCCCACACTGAGTCCCTCCCTCCTGACTGAAAACCCTGATCGCATCGTCTGTCCTGCTCTGTGTAAGACATTCAGGAGCTTTGCTGTCATCACAGTTCAGCTCCTGTCATGTTGGCTTTTAATGTTCTCTTTGAGTGAGATTATGCACACACATCAGGAAGAAGCTGTCTGATTCCTCAGAGCCAGAGTTAGAGGGTTTCGGGGTGCCTGCCCGGTTTATTGCATGAGGGTGGGAGCAGATCTCCTGTCTTCATGATTGCATTGGTGAACTAGCTCTCCAGACCTACTTCCCCTTTAACCTGCAGCTGCCCTTGTGGGGCTTGGGCAGGTGATAACAGTGAGATTGTTCAGGGTCTCCTTTTGGAAAAAAAATTAATTCTAGCTTGCCTTTTTGGTTTTTTTTGAGACCGGGTCTTACTATGAAGACCTAGTTGACCTAGACCATGGAGATGAGAATGGCCTCAAATTCAGAGACTGCCTGCCTCTGCCTTCCGAGGGTTGTGGTTAAAAGCGTGTACTGCCATGACCAACTCCTAGCCCAAAAAAATTCTAACCAACACATCCTGAGAAATGGCCATGGGCTGCATGGAAAGATAATTCACTAGACTGTTCTCAACAGCCTTAATATCCAAAAGTAGCAGCTGAGTTAAATACGGCACATGTCAGTTATGCAATGCAATAGTAGCATAGTCACAGACCGGACTGCACAAGGAAAATGTGTTTAGTGAGAGATTGGGGCACCTAAGTATGTTCAGAGTGCTAGCTTTTGTGTAAAACTTACATATAAAATGATACAAATTTGAATTTTCTTTTCTGTGTAAAGAAACTCTAGGAAACTACAATTAAAAATAATGCCCCCACATGGTGTGGGGACAGGAGTGTGACTGTCTGGCTCAGCAGCTCAGAGCACTTGTTCTTTCAGAGGACCTGGGTTTTACTCCGATCACCCACACAATCTATAGCTCCAGTTCCAGGGAATCCAGTGCCTTCTTCTGGCCTCTGTGGGCACCAGGTACCCACATGATACATATACATACACACGGCAAAACATACAAAGAAGTATTTAAAAATGTATAAAAGCCGTGGGGCTGGAGAAATGCCCCAGCAATTAAAATTGCATGCTGTTCTTGACATCGATGTGAATTTAGTGTCCAGCATGCATGCCCAGCAGCTCACAGCCTGAAAGTACAGCTCAAAGGAATCTAGCACCCTATTCTGACCTCTGTGGGCCCTGCACTCAAATGTGCAAACCCTCTCATGACACACACACACCCGAACAGTCACCTGTGATATGCACAATAGAAGCACATGTGTGAAAAATGTGAATGCAGTGTTTACTCAAAGCATCAGACTACTGGTGTTTCATACAACATTCTATGATATCTGAAATGCTCAGGATAGATTGAAAAAGCCAGGAAACAGCACCCAAGGGGTATTATGTTTAATATGTCTATTAAACAACAAAATACTAGAAACTGTCATTTCTGGTTTATGGGACTTTCCCCCTCATGGTTGTGTTTACTTCAACTTGCATAACCTAAGTTTTATTTTCCCTCTGTTTTGTTGCCCTTGTCATTCTTATTTTTATTAAGACATAGTCTCATGATGTAGCCCAGGCTAGCTCTTATCTCCCAGTCCTCCTAGCAAAACTTTTAAGTGCTGGTATTATAAGCATGTATGATCGTACCTGGTTTACTCCCTTAAATTTCAAACAGATACTACTTTTATAGCAAGGTAAAAACAATCAAATGTCATAAAATCTCCCAGTATAGAAATGCTCCCTTAGTCATTTATTACAGAAACAGACTATGATTATCTGATTCATATATACTAAAATGTAAATGAACAGGCAGGGGGCTATTTAGTGACAAGAGGTGTTCGAACCTCCATCTTTCCCATGCTTTCAGGAGATGGGGTCCCCGGCCTGTCTTGTATCTTGATACATATGATCGAAGTTATTATAATTATCAGGTAGATCATTTGGAGGGAGGGGAATCCTCCTTTCCCTGAAGAATCCAGATACCTGTTTCCCTTCAAATAGCAGAAGAAATACCCCTTCCATGTGGAAGAGATGCGGGTGGATAGGAATGGGTAGTATGGCTTAACTCAGTGCCAAAGCCCCGTATGGAGACCTGCGTGGGTGCAGGGATTCCTTAAGGCCAGGCGCTGCTTCTTTAAATTGCTTTTGTTGCTTTCATTCATAGACGGTCTATATAACACTGCGTCATTCCTCTTTCAAAATTAATCGCTACACACACAGGTTTTTCTGACCATCCGCATATCATTTAGACATTCTGAAATGATTATTTACCTAAAACCAGTTTATTTTGTAGTTCTTTGAAGTGCCCCCTCTTTCACAACTGAATCTGCCTGCTTATTCTTCTTCATAAAAATAATTTAAATTGCTTCAAAAAGAATTTAAATTGCTTCATGAGCGTTTGTATGTTTGTTTGTTTGTTTTGGATTTCAGGGGAGATGTATTTAAGGCTAGAACTCCAGAACTCTCTTCAATATTTGTTTTTTTCTAGTATTTGGAGTAATGTAGCCCAGGCAATGAGATGAGAAGAGAAAAACAAACAAACAAACAAACAAACAAACACCACCTTGGCAGGTAGAAGATTCTGGGAAAGTTTTTATTTTATTCTTAATTAGTTATTATAGTTGTTTGCTCGTTTGGTTGGTTTTTGTTTTGTTTTGCATAGCACACCATATAGTGAGGTTGGTTTCGAACTCTCTATATACTGAGGCTGACTTTGAACTCCCATCTCCAGCTGGGATCAGCTGTCTGCCTCCAGCTGCTGTGGTACATGGAAAACATAAACCCATCTGGGCTAAGCCAATGGGAACTCGTTTCTGTTACCGACGTGGGTACCAAGTGCAAGCAAATGCAACTCTCGATGACAGCCTGCTTTAAGTCAAGAGCAGGTGGTAAAAACGAAAAATGAGAAACCAGAGGCAAGAGGTATTATAGCACCAAACAACAGAACGCAGCAGCTTATTGGACGTGGTACAAGATATGAGAGAGGTCAAGGGTGTCTGCAAGGTTTTGGTCGGGAAGAGAAAGGGCGGGGCTAGCCCGCGTTGATAGCCCCCTCCCTACCACGCACTGAGCTGCGGATTCAGCGGGATGCCTCATCGCAACCTTAGAAGAGCAGAATCAAAAAAAAAAAAAAAAAAAAAAAAAAAAAAAAAAAAAA